GATATTATTACTTTTTTAATCGGTTACGTACTTTAGAAAATATTAATATTTTAAAATATCACAAAAATTTTCTTTAACCTTTTATATCTTCTTTACTTTTTAATTGCGGCAAATAATATTTATATAGTTGATATCAGCGTAAAAAGTACTATCGGTCTGCATTTTTAGTTTTCCCATAGCTGAACGGGTAGTTATCTTGATGTGTTCCTTATCTTATAGTGAAAAATTGCAAAGCCTACTTATACAAATTTTACACGAGGAAAAAGCTTCTTATAGCTCTTTTCTTCAAGTAAATCGGTCTTTTAAGTTATAGTTTTTTAGTAAATGTAGATATACATATCTATGTATCATTATTACCATTTCTTTTAAATGCAAACATCATTTCGCATTAATTTAAAAATGTTAGTTAGTTAGTTAGTTAATTTACTGGGTGTAATAGAACAGAGACACCGCGACCTAAAAGATCTTTTGTATCTCTATAAAGGAGTCCCTAATCCAATGTGGCCAAGATACCTTCGGCTTCCCTTATGAATCCTAAAAGGGCCTTGGTAGATGAATTCCTTATAACAAAGGGTTCGACCAACGAAGATTTAAAGTAAATCAGTCTTTGTCTGGCTAAAGCCGGACAGTTACAGAGAATATGCTTCGAAGTTTCATCGGCCTCGAGGCATAGCCGGCATTCCGGCTCTGTGATCGCCCCTATTCGGTGTAAATGGAACCGCAATTGGTTGTGACCAGTCAGATACCCAGAAAGTAACCTGATGTCAATTCTGTTTTGTAGAACGATTTAAAAATAAATATGTATGAATGTTTTTGATACATTTTCTGCAGTTTTCTAAGAAAATAATTATTTTTGTTATGGGAACAGACATTGACTTTTCAACCAGACATCTGGTTACTTTGACAGCCGCCATGATACAAAAAAAAGGTAGTTTCAATAAACAACTTTTTGATTAAAAAGGAGATTTTTGACAATTGCTCAATCGTAAAACATTCGAAGCGGCGTTGCCCAATTTAAGTTTTTTGGTGGAAGGGATTTTATATCCTAAATTTGGTAATATAAATAAAATAGGTGTATTAACATTTACCTTTTAAAAATAATTAATATCTTATCTTAAAAACGTTCAAATTTTACATTAAATTCGATAACAACTTTCCGAAATCTTTATTTTTACATTAATAAAATTGTAGTGAACATGTTTTAATTTTTTTTTAGTGCCATTATGCCATCTGATTATTACACAATATAGCTAGCCAGGACTATTACAGTTTTCTATATCGGATGCGATTGTTTCTGATATAATTGAGACACTGAAAATATTGTCTTTGTCTAAGTCTTTCAAGTAAATTGAAAACGGAATTTACTTTGGAACCTATAGCGTCGCCTGGGTAAAAGATTGTCGTAAGCGCCATTTTGACGATTTTTAGTTCTAGATGCAGTTATATATTTTTAATTAAGGTCTTTCGATTGGTGTTATCAGTTTTTGGAGTATACCTTTAGTTTCCGAGATATTCACTATAATTTATTCGATAATTTAGTTAGTGATGCAGCCATATTAAACTAATCAATATCTTAAAAATGGCGTTCTGCATTTGTGGATATCGCCTTTAGTTTCCGAGATATTGAGTAAAACGTGTCGTTAATTTGGTAGAAATTTTGATCACATTTTGTCGTATTTCATACAAAGTGGCTGCCAAATTGTAGACAAATGACGCTTAAGACAAAATTTTACTAAAGAAAATCCTTCCTAAACGCAAAACTAATTAACAATTAACATTAAAAATTAAATAATTTAAGAATTTTGTGAACTAGTAACATTTTCAGAGACTTTGGAGAAAATCTATCTTCGCGTTTTTGAGAAATTGCATTCCAAACTTCAATCGCAATTTCCCACAACCTACCGAAAGTAACATACGACAATCTTTTACCGGAACGACCCAGATTTATATCTGGCCAAGGACTGTCACTCCAGCAACACTCCCCAAAAAGTCTTTGGGGAATTTGTATGCTGCTACAACAACAACAACAATCTTTTACCCAGGCGACGATAGGCCTCATGACTTTCAGAGAAGTGAGTATTATCTTTGGGTAAAAATAAATATATTTTACTGTTCAATATTGTGAAACAAAATTGATGATTTATTGTTAGTATAAATGCTAGAAACACAATTATCAACTTATTGAGCATTAGACCTCTTCCCTTTCAAAAAGAAAAGGGGAAATGTTCGGTTATTTGTGCAATGGCTTTCGGGTGGGAGTGGAGACGCNATAGCTAGCCAGGACTATTACAGTTTTCTATATCGGATGCGATTGTTTCTGATATAATTGAGACACTGAAAATATTGTCTTTGTCTAAGTCTTTCAAGTAAATTGAAAACGGAATTTACTTTGGAACCTATAGCGTCGCCTGGGTAAAAGATTGTCGTAAGCGCCATTTTGACGATTTTTAGTTCTAGATGCAGTTATATATTTTTAATTAAGGTCTTTCGATTGGTGTTATCAGTTTTTGGAGTATACCTTTAGTTTCCGAGATATTCACTATAATTTATTCGATAATTTAGTTAGTGATGCAGCCATATTAAACTAATCAATATCTTAAAAATGGCGTTCTGCATTTGTGGATATCGCCTTTAGTTTCCGAGATATTGAGTAAAACGTGTCGTTAATTTGGTAGAAATTTTGATCACATTTTGTCGTATTTCATACAAAGTGGCTGCCAAATTGTAGACAAATGACGCTTAAGACAAAATTTTACTAAAGAAAATCCTTCCTAAACGCAAAACTAATTAACAATTAACATTAAAAATTAAATAATTTAAGAATTTTGTGAACTAGTAACATTTTCAGAGACTTTGGAGAAAATCTATCTTCGCGTTTTTGAGAAATTGCATTCCAAACTTCAATCGCAATTTCCCACAACCTACCGAAAGTAACATACGACAATCTTTTACCGGAACGACCCAGATTTATATCTGGCCAAGGACTGTCACTCCAGCAACACTCCCCAAAAAGTCTTTGGGGAATTTGTATGCTGCTACAACAACAACAACAATCTTTTACCCAGGCGACGATAGGCCTCATGACTTTCAGAGAAGTGAGTATTATCTTTGGGTAAAAATAAATATATTTTACTGTTCAATATTGTGAAACAAAATTGATGATTTATTGTTAGTATAAATGCTAGAAACACAATTATCAACTTATTGAGCATTAGACATCTTCCCTTTCAAAAACAAAAGGGGGAAATGTTCGGTTATTTGTGCAATGGCTTTCGGGTGGGAGTGGAGACGGAGGGGGGCCCATTGAAAAATGGGGTAAAATTACACATTACATTGACAGAGAGCATGTAAACTCGGTTTACGCCAACCACAGGATTTTTGCGCAAAATACCTTTCCACGTTGTAGGCTTTCAGCAGCGCTTAGAAAAAAATAATCCTCATCAGTCCAACTCCGGCTACCCTGACCACAGTATTTTTTACAAAAACAATGACAATTAACTACCTTCTTTTTTGTATCATGAGCAAGCCTGCATTGGGCCTGCGCCTTTATTGTAAATATGGGTGCAATTTAATGTAATTTACAAGTTAATAAAAGTTGGATTGAAGTGATTTATACACAAGATAAAATAAAATAAAAGTGTATAAGCTATTAGGTAGTGTTATGTGCAATCATATATATGAAAGTATGTGACAAATGCGCTCTTTGATAAGGAAATCAAGTGGAACGACTTAAGAAATTTTAACGACAAATAACTTATAAACTATTATATTGTTCATTTTTTTAGTTATACATGTTTTAGAAGATACCTCCCTTAATCTCCTGACCAAGTTTCATTTGTTAATTCCACCTGGCTTTCTTAAAACAAAAGGTGAGGCTGAATACTAAAGCCCACCCCAATAACTAGACATTCCCCATTTTGCTTCCTGAGTATATTTTATTTACCTCTTTTGAGAATTTGAGGTCGCAGTATAACATGAATTCATTGTCATCCACCTGCCGTGCCCCTTCCTCCAAAATTTTGTCAAAACGGTCCAAAATATGCGTCCAATGATACAGTTCACACTTTCCATATGTCCAAACATTTATTGTTTCAAGAAAACGCGAGAGGTCAACCTTACTACGACACTTGCTTAACTGATCTATAAGCAACCTGCATTCAGGAGTGAGCTCCGAAGAACTCTTTTTTAGTTTGCTTGTATCAACCTTCATGGTAATATTTGCATAACTTCTTTAAACCAATATCATCACAAAGCACGAAAATGTTTTTATTTCGCATATAAGGTGAATATTACAATCACTGGCTACTATAAGAACGATGGTATATACTTTTTAAGCAAATTTTATGAATTCTCACGGAATAACTTCAGACCACCGTAATCCGTACCATACAAAAAAAATAATAATAAAGCGCTGCCACCTTTCATGACATGATAAGATTTTAACTTGGTTTTGCCCGGCAGTACTGCAATTTTCGCCAAACGCAATTAATAACATAAAGTGCACACGCTAACTTACCTTGTTTTGCCCTACCTAAAGAATAGGGACCCTTGAAATAGAGAAAAAAGAAAATGTGGACGTGGTGTACCCCTTTTTGCTGAGTTTAGTTGTAAACTTTTTTTGGTGCAAATTGACAGGGGCGGCGCTAGGGGGGGCCAAACGTGGAATTTCCAACATTTTCAAAAGCTTTTATTTTGAAAACTATTGAACCGATTTTCAATACATGGACACAGTTGGAAAGGTAATTGAAGGACCATTCATTCAATATTAACATCTACGTATATAATGCAAACATATTTTGAGAAAAGGTAAAAAAACGAAATTATGGCATTTTTTTATAAAAATGTATGTTTTTCGTAAAAAAATACGTAATTAACTATATTAAAAAATATATTTATCGGAAAGACCATAAAAATACCTTTAATTTGACGTATAATTTTATATAGTTTGATTTAAGTACAACTGCTAGCAGTGCAATAAAACAACTGTATTAATGTTATATGTTCTCTGCAAAAGGTGTTCAGCCCCTTTAATTTGGCAACACAGAAATAATAATTCTACGTAGTGAGAGTTATACTGCCTAAGCGCGCCCGAAGGCCGCCTACGCAAAAAGGTGTTCTCTGCAAAAGGTTTTCTGACCCTTTTCTTTGGCAACACAGAAATGAGAATTCTATGTTGTGAGGAAGGCCGCCTACGCAAAAAGGTGTTCTCTGCAAAAGGTGTTCTGCCCCTTTTCTTTGGCAACACAGAAAGGAGTATTCTACGTTGTGAGGAATATAATCCCTACGCAGAAAGGTTTTCTCTGTAAAAGGTGTTCAGCCCCTTTTATTTGGCAACACAGAAAGAAGAATTCTACGTAGTGAGGGTTATAATCCCTAAGCGCGGCCGAAGGCCGCCTACGCAGAAAGGAATTCTACGCAAAAATACTGTGGATAGCGTAGCTTGATTAATTATCCATTTAATTCTACAACTCAATCTTATAACAAATAAGGTGATTAAAAAAAATGGTTTGTAGGTATATATTTCTTTAGTATTTTTTTAATTTTAATTAAATTTTTGTAAAAACTAAAGAGAGTAAGATTTTCTATCGCGCGATTTTTTATTCCAAATTTTCGCCTGCGGCGCTTTTCCTTTCTCATATAAAACTATATTTTTATAAATATTTAGTCAAATATGATGTCAACAAGAATTTTTTGCCACACGTCATATACCAAATTAACGATATTTTTGTGCTCTTTCTGATAAACATATCTGTTAATATAGTTAATTACGTAATTTTTAAAGAAAAATATACATTTTTATAAAAAAAATTGCCATAATTTGGTTTTTTACCTTTTCTCCCAATGTGTATACATTATATACATAGATATATATATCGAATGAAAAGCCCTTCCATGACCTTTCCAACTTGTCCATATTTAAAAAATCGGTTCAATAGTTTTCGAAATATAAGCTTTTGAAAATGTTGAAAATTCCACGTTTAGCCCCCCTTTCGCCGCCCCTGTCAATTTGCACCAAAAAAAATATGCCGTTAAAATCCGGAAAAGAGGGCGGGCCATGCCCACTTTTTTTTCTCTAGCTCAAAGGTCTGTATTCTTTAGGTGTTCCCTTGATTTATCCTCGAATTCTAGGCGATTTGCTAATGCAGCTTTTTTGCAGCATTTAAAATGCAACATTTAGTACTTTCAAACATATGTTTTCGAAGTGCGTTCATCAAGAATGATAGAATACAAGATTGCGCCGATCAGAGAGGATTTTTGAGAATAACTTTTGTGTGACGTCACACTGGTGCAATTGCGAGAGCGGAATGCCAAAACGGGAGCAAGAATGGAAGAAGAAGAAAAAATGTTGCAAGGAAAACGTAAACAAGTTGCACAAGTGTGACGTCATGCAAACAACGATTCTGTCAAATTCGTTAAGAGAGGAATAGCGGTCCGAGATCGGCGCAACCTTTGTATTCTCTCAATCGTGAGCGTTCATGCTATGGCATTCAGTGTTGCCACTGCCTTAGCCTTTAAAGTATCCATAAAAGATCTAAAGCAGCGTTTTTGCTGCATTTAAAATGCAACATTTAGCACTTTCGAACATATGTTTTCGAAGAGCGTTCATGCTATCGCATTTAGCAAATGTACATTTACGCGAGTTCGAAATCGTATTCTTTTGACAAACAGCCGTGTTCCAGTCGCTTATTCAGATCCGTATCTATTACGATAAATTCTCACGCTGAAGATAATGTGCAAAAACCCTACTGAAAAGCAAAAAATAATTTTAAACCAAAAATTCAATACTAAAACTTGAATTGTTTAAACCATAACCGAACATTTGTTAGTGTATATATTCATTTGTCGGTGCCGTCAATTAAAACTTCCTCACGTAATTAGGAAACAAAACAAACAGAGTTGATCACAAATTGATCCAGATTTGTGACACGTTCCAAAAACAGCTAATTGGGATTTGCCGATATTGACAATTCTCAAGTAAAAGTAAACAACGCCTCAGAAACCTTAGATGCACTTAAATTTGCTAATTATTTCACAAAAATCGCCGTTTTTTAACATTTTCGCTATTAATTATTTTTATAAATCATATATTTTGCAATTTAACACAATAAAACCGCGTTTCCTTTCGAAAAATTGCCTACTGAGAAAATTTACTATTTTGCAGTTTATTTTTTGCTCCCATTCGGGTTTGTTTACTTTTACTTGAGAAATTTCATCGTCGCCGGGAATGCGGAATCTTGTATTATATCATTCTTGTTACCATATCGTGTTTAGTGTTGGACAAGTTTTGCTCTTAAAATTAAGAAAATTATGTCAAGCAAAAATAAAACTACTCAAAAACGCGAATATGTGGTAGATTTCAGACCTTGAGTGGGAGATGCTCAAAAAAATGGCAGATCTACCACAATGTGATAGAAGTCCGATCACTGCCTTAGACACGGATTTGGGAAATAAAGGCCCGTGGTTGTAGTCAAAATTAGTCGACTCTAAAGTTAATTGCAGCTTTTTGACATAATTTTCAATGGGATATCTGTCAAAAAAGCTGCAATTACCTTTAGTGACGATTTAATTTTGACTATAACTACGGGCCTTGTTTCCCAGATCTGTTGCCAAGAATCGGAAAATACTGACTACAATTACGAGCCAAAGTTTCCGCATGTTCGATTTTTATTACTACGATTAGGTTCTCGACATTACAGTTACCTACTATGGGTCGGAAAATTTTCTAAAATTTGCAAACTACTTGGTGTTATTAAATTCACGTTTATGTAGCTAAAAATTTTATTTTTCAAAGTGACAAGAATAATGGGCTGTTTTTGCTTACGCGTAAAAGCACATTTAGCGCATTTACCTCTAAATACTTCTCTAAATGTACATTTTCATTTATTATTTATTATTTATTATAATCAAACACACAACCATGAGTTATTTTACAGTGTTTGAACTTAATTTAATTATAAAAGCTTAAAAACTAACATTAAGGGAAACCGTAGGTTGTAAAAATGTGTAAGGAGGAGAAGAAGAACAAAGAAGTATTAGAAAAAAGAAAAATATATGTGTACGTGCATCTTAGCAATTTAGAGGGCAAAAATTATGTAAGAGCTCATTTTTAAAGTGCGATGTACTTCGGATAGTTTTGATCTTATATGGCAGAGCGTTCCAAAGACGAACAGCAAAAACAAAGAACTGACGTTCAGATACAAGGCAACTGTATGTCATACTAAGCAGGTTAAGTGATCGGGCCGATCTCGTGAATTGAATTCGTTCAACAAGGTATTTGGGCTCATGAGAGTTAATTACCTTGTGAAGCAGCATTAGGCATTTTACTTTTAATAAATCGTCGAACTTTATAGAAAATATTTTTAAGGCAAAAACAGATATGTGATCACGACGTTTTACACAATACACGTATCTGGCGATGTTGTTGTAGAGGATATTAAGTTTGCCACGACACAGACTATCACAATTGGCATACAGTTCACATCCATACAATAAGGTTGGTAACAGAAATGTTTTAGCTAAAAGCAGTCGAATTTTCTCTGGGGTAAAGTGCTGAATAGTCCATAATGAACGGAGCATGCCATAAACCTTGCCTATTGCACTATAAATGTGGGTATTCCACGATAGGGTTCTATTGAAAATTATCCCTAGGTTTCTTGCAGTGTCAACAAATTTTATAACAGAGTTGTTCAATTTCACTTCACTGTAGCCCTCAAGTTTGAAAGTCTTCTTGTAAATAACGATGCACTGTGATTTACTTGGATTTAAAAGTAACCCATTGTCACAGGCCCACTTGCTAACGTGATCTAAGTCAGTGTTGAGGTTACTAATACAATTATTAACGGATACAAAAGGGCAACTGACATATAGTTGAACATCATCTGCATATACATGAATATCACAATATTTTAACACACTTTGAAGATCGTTTACATATAACACAAACAATAGAGGACCGAGAGTCGAGCCTTGGGGAACGCCTTTAGTTACGTGTAAGCAGTTAGATATAATGTCACCGGCCCAAACAGCTTGTGAGCGATCGTTGAGGTATGATTTTATTAAATTTAATGCTGTCGACGAGAAGTTAAACAAGTTGCTAAGTTTCAAGGCTAGAAGATCGTGATTAACAGTGTCGAAAGCTTTGGAATGATCCAGAAGTGTTAATAAAGTCACGCGATCGTTGTCAATGTTTAGTCTGATGTCGTCTGATACCCTAATTAGCGCCGTTACGCAGCTTCGGTTGGATCTAAAACCAGATTGGTACCTATTCACCAGCAGGTTTCGACTCAGAAAAGAATTTATCTGAGTATGCATAATGCGCTCAAGTACCTTGGATAAAAAGGGTAGTATTGCGATGGGTCTAAAATCCCCATTAGATTTCTTAATTGGAATGATTTTTGCCGACTTCCAACAGTGAGGAAAAACAGACG